ACCCATTAACAGCTTTTAAAAAGTAATATCGGGAGAGTCTGTGTCAGTTCTATTAACCATAGGATTTGTGTAAATACTGGTTATTATCTTATTAATTTCTCATCTCTTTGAAAGGCAAGGAAGGTACAATATGAATAGAGCTGCAGAAATCACCTTTTTTTACTGGAAACAGTGGGATGGTATTCTTTTTTTAGTTTGGGTCTGAAGCTGTTTCGCTATCCAGAACATTTAAAATAAAATAGTATCTAATATTTGGTTATAAATAAGAATAAGAAGAATTTGGTCACTCAATCCATGACTGTATGTGGACCTCTGCTGTGCACAATTAGCGCCATGTTTCGCCCACAAATATAGTCCATTCACTTTACAGTATATTCTGTAAAGCGCTTTGAAATGTCTAGAAGACGTGATAAGGCGCTATATCAAATGCAAGGATTATTATTATACATATATTCATATATAATTTTTACTCTTGTGGAACTGACATTTCAGCCTTCCCTTCAGAGCTGTTTCCAATGTGGCAGCTTAGAGGGAAGGCATGTGCACATCCTAGAGCTGTTTCATTGACTTTAATGGGAGTCGGCACTTCAGACTGGTTTGGGCTGATCAAGAGTCACCCACCCCTGAGAAGACTTGTGCGGTTGAGTGCACAGCAGCACTCAGCCAGTCAAGAGTTTTTTTTCTGGAGTCAGACAGTCCCGGAGGATAAAAAATAATGTGCAAATGCAGAGATATTTAGAAGCAGGTACTGGATATTATTACATCTGTGTGTTTTTTTAATGTAAAAAGAATGTCTAAAAACATAAGACAGGAAGCTTTGACTCTATTTTTCTTCTCACAGTTCCCTCTTTGGGTTAAATTTCAGAACTAATAAGAGATTGGGATGTCCTGAACATTTTCTTTGGGGGAGGATGTGGAAGTGGCTTTCCTTTTGAATGTAATGTATAAGGAGAGGGAAGCAGTATGTGTAGTGAATATACAGTCAATTCACTTTACAGTATATTCTGTGAAGCGCTTTGAGACGTCTCAAAGATGTGGTAAGGATTATTATTATATTATTATCGTTGTTACTGGTGATAATTACCTTAAGGGTAGAAAATGCAGTTAAAACTTTTCCTTAGCAATACTTTGGGGAGGAACACACCCTATGTTTTTCTTGAAACTCTTGAAGATTCAACATTGAAGATTTATAATTATCAGAAACACAATCCACATTTGTCACTCCTTTTTCTCCAGATCGACAATTTTTTTAAAAAGATCTTCGATATAAAGCACTGCCTCACTAAGAATGGGGGGTTTCCTATGCTGCGGAGCTGCAATAACTGGAAGCACAGGATATTTCTGGTTCTTGACTAGTTGCCTTCCAAGTGCTACAGAATGACCAACCTTTGGGTCATCAGGTTGCTGCTAGAGTCATTTGCGCACTGAGATTATGATGGGGTTCTCCAGTTGTTTTTGCCAGTGTTACAGCCCTGATGTGGATAAATATGGAAATGCATCTGTGTAGAACTTGTTTCTAAACATTTTAGTTTTCTATAAACAAAAAGAAATTATGTGTCCCTTTCAACCGGTACCCACATGAAATGCGCTATCGTAATTGATTGTCACTGGAGTGAAAGGGTATTTGTTCAGTCGTTAGGCAGACTGCTTGCAATGCAAACCCTTAGCTTTGTCAGTTTAATAGACTAAATAGGCACTTTTCTTTACACTGAGTGCATTGAGAATGGTATTTTAGACTTTCAGAGATTGATTGGGAGTTTGGTGAAGCCTGGTGGCTCAAATTTCCAAAAGACTTTATCTAAATTGTGCCTTACAACAAAAGATCATTTGCAGTTGACAGGTGCTATATCTGCAAGATCCCAGCAACAAACACATGGTAGGCAGCAGGAGATCATTTGTTTGCTTGCTTCACAAACCAGTGCAATACATCTGTGCTACTGTACGGTCTCTATATAGTAAGATACGATAGTGACATGTCCATGCATTCGCCTAGACATATTGACAAAACCGGATGGCTCATTCATCAATCAGCCTACAAGTTTAGTCAGAAGTCAATGGAATATCTCTTTAAAGCTTTAGCAACTTGCCATTCAGCGTTCCTTTGACCTTCTGGATTCAGGATCCAATTCTTTATGACTCTAATTCTTAATGCATGGAGGAATCTTTGAGCTATGGGTCCTCACAAATCTTGGTAACCAGTCTCTTAATATATCTGTAAATAAAAATAGTACATATATTTCAATTTACAACATGAAAATTTGCTCAACATCATTTGTGCAGAACACCATTATTTATCTTCTATTGTAGCATACAGTAAACTCCTGAAAACTTGTTATTCCAAGAGAAATAACCTCAGTGACGAGTTATCCGGAGTGGCATGTAAATACATAAATAACAGCAGCCAGGATATTGACAGCATGATGACCTAAGGGGTAGTGACAAGTTAAGCCAGGGTTGAGTTTCATGTATATTGTATATGTTCACACAAGTCAACAAGACTGACTCAATAACATCAATGCAGACATGTTCTACATTTTTGTTTCACCTTTTTATTTGTATTTATCGAATGAAGTAAACTACATAAAAATAATCCTTGTATTTGATATGGCATAATGGCTGTGTATTTTCAGATGAACATTATGTTAGAAAATAAGAAAGCATTATTTATTTAATTGATAATGTTAATCTAGTCACTTGACTTGTTTCATCGCTTCCTCCCATGCAGTTCTTCTACTTGCATTGCATATAGAGATTGAATAGTCTACAGCATTACCCAGTTAGAATAATCCTTGCATTAGTTATAGCACCTGATCATGTCATCAAAACATTTCAAAGTGCTTCATGGAATTTTGTGTGAAGTGTGAAGTATAGTGACTATATTGGTAGACTGTGTATTTGGATGAAAACCTCATGGTTTCCAAAACATTCTTCTACAAATATTTATAACCGTTTCAGTACAGAAGAAGGCCATTCGGCCCATTGTACTTGGGCTGTGCCAATGCCACCACTGAAGCTGCCAACCCACTTTCAATTTCAGTCCTCTTTCATCATATGCTTTTATATCATACTAGCTGTACCCATTGCAGCTACGCATGCAACCAGAGGATCCAATATGGAATGTAGATTGACACACAGACAGGCACACTAACTTATCCTTGAAAGGTTTGATTTTCGCTTAGGCACCTTTATAATGATCAATGTAATGTATAATTTATATTCACTGGCACATACTCCTGAAGTGAAAGGCGCTTTAAAAAAACAATTTTGTTGTTTTTGCCGCGGCTTAGCTTCGTGTGTGTTCTTTATTTTGTTCCCACCATCGCTTGGCTACGTGCGTGCTCTGTGACACAGGATGCCACAACTCCACGGTCAGCCAGCATAGCCACCAGTTGTAACTGCAGCGAAAAACGCAAAACTGAAATACATTTTAGGTCATAACTCATGAACAGTAAGAGATACCTGAAAATAAATATGCACATGTCACTCTCAGGTGCAAGACATTTCCGATGAGGTATAAATCATGTCTCTATGTCAATCAGTTATTGAGATCCTTCTTGAAGTGCAGACAGACAGACAGACATTGTTGTTTTATTAGTATAGAAGATAGTTGCTCTGGATCTTGCTGTTAACATATTCATGAAGAAGGTGCCATGGATTTTGTCAGTTGTCAAATTCAGTTTATTTGTCATGCAGTAATTTTGCAAATTCAAACAATAGGGTCCAAATTCCCATGATTCTTAAGAGATTCATACCCTCACCAGTAAGAAGATAGTGTTCCTTAAAGCTTCTGGAACTTCAGGTTGATGTTAAAAATCCGACTTCAAAGGGAAGGGGTGTGTGGACGGTTCAATCAGTATTTTAGCCATTCATCCAAATTCACCGTATGAATAGACCTACTGGTCATAGGTCTTTTTATGTTTGTGGACTGTTCCTGGTGCACATTAGCTCACTGTAAACAGCAGTCACATCAGACCAACTCATAGTTTGAAGTGCTTTAAGATGTTTTTTTTGTCATGATAAGGTGTTCTACCAGATGCAAGTACTTCTATCTGATCATGTCATGATGAATTGTTCTTAGTCGATATTTCAAGATCCCCAAAAGGGAGTCAAACAAAATCTGCATTTAACATATTCAGCCCTCCCAACATTACAGACGCAAACATGTCCTGTGGAGTACTAGTTTGTTTCAGTCTGCACATAACCTGTAACCTACAAACTGTTCTAAGCAGATGTTTAATTAGTTCTTTTTTTGAAGGTGTTAATCAGTTAGTCAGTCAATGCAATTCAGCTACTATTTGGGAATTGATAGCATCCATATAATCCTCTCAAACAATTTTCGCCTCAGGTTCATGGCTCACTCTTTTTTTTGGAACAAAAGGATACCATTTGGTGTATTCTGGTACAGTTCTATTGTTCATGGAATAGTATTGGCCAGAGGCTCAATTACCTCTGTACTTATTTTTAGGTATCAAAACAGTAGAAATTGACATTTAAATAGCACCTTTCACATCGGAAGGACATCCCAAGGTGCTGGATAGGCCAGGGTTTCCACCCGAGCTGGCACGATTACATGAGACCCACCCTCCAATTCTCTGTCTTCTTTTCCTGGAGGTAGAGAGGCTGGATTTGCTCCAGAGAGGGCCAGTCTTCTGACTTCTTCCCCAGTTGGCTTCCACAACTGTGTGTTGTTCAGTTTTACCCTCTCCGAGCTGATACTGACCCCATCCAACATCCACAGGTACTTTCCAACAGTCACCAGTGAAGAGCTGATCTTACCTTACCTCTTATTCCCCCGCCTCAGATGGTCGCCTACGGAGTAACTGGTGGCTTTATCCTCGACCCTGTCCGCCCTCTCCTTTTCCTCAACTTACAGTAAATCCTGTAAAGTGTCTTTATAATGTAAAAGGAACTGTACGAAGTGCCAGATTCATTATTTATTTATTTTTATTTTGTGTAAGAGACACAGATCTACTAATTTATGAATCTCTCTTTCATTTTAGGCCTATGTGTTTTGTTAAGCAGCTCGAGATCCCACAGTATGGCTACAGGCACAATGTGTCCACCACCACACCTCGTTCTAACTTGGCCAAAGAGCTGGAGAAATATTCCAAGACAACATTCGAATACAACAACTATGACAACCATGTTTTTGGAAAACGCGCCATTGCCCCCAAAGTACAGACCAGGGAGGCATCTCCCAAAGGATATGATGGTGAGAGACGTTGTGCTTTTACTAACATTATGCGATACTTGTAAAATATAGTTGTAAAAAAAGCCATGTCTAATGGAATGCCACTATGGATTGGGGACATAAAGCAAGCTATAGCTAAATTAGCTTGATACCAAACTTGGGCAGCTGCAGATAACAGGGATCTGGTTGACCAAACACAATGGCAACTGAGAGTTCTATACAACATCACAGTAGAAAGACAGAATTGCTAAATTAGCAATTAATGTTCTTTAATTATTGCTGTCAGTATTTAAGGAATGGCATGAAATTGTGGTTAAAACTGTGCTTTATAAACTGTGTTTCACTCGATGTTTGAGACTGAACAACTCTTAACTTCAGATCAAGGATTTTTCTCTTGGGTGTCACTCAGTCAATATGGCCAGCAAGTCTCGTGAGAATGTTTACGCAAGAGTTGAGGTTTTGAATCCTAGATTGCTAGAACAGTTTATGAGCTTCAATATTTTACTTCTAAAATGTCTTATGGCCAGCGTTTGGCAAAGAAACTCTAAGTCAGCAATTTCTTTGGCCCGATTGAAAACTGAGGATCACTGAGATAATAATCCTTGCATTTGATATTGAGATCCACTCTGATCAGGAAACCTTCAATTGGGATCACATGATTTTCATTGAATTCGTTGGTGAATCACTAATTTTGGTCGCAGCCTAGTTCACAATGGACTTCTAGTTTATGGATGGTGCGTTGTTGGTCCCAATGTTACATTTTGTTTACATTCAATCATTTCAGCGCCTTGGGACGTTCTCCCGACGTGAAAGGCGCTCTATAAATGGAATCTTGTTGTTGATGTCATTTACATTTACAAAGATGTGCACTTAAAAATCTTGCTGTTCTTTTTCCGACATTGCATTTCACATAGAACCATAGAACTGTACAGCACAAAAGGAGGCCATATGGTCTGTCATGTCTTTCCTGACTCCCTGAAAGAGCTATCCATTTAGTCCCGTTTCCTGCCTTTCTCCCAATTTAATATTTCTCCTTTTCAGATGTTTATCTAATTCCCTCCTATAACTACTATGAATTCTGCCTCAGGATAGGGCATTCCACGTTCCATTTCTTAATCTCTTTCTTTGCTCTTTTGGTAATTTTCTGAATTATGATATGAACATCAGCATCACAGCATTACATTGTGAACGTTATATACAGTACTGTGAAAAATGCTTGCGTTGTTACAAAGACACCCCTGTTATTAAGTGCCAAACTGCAGTGGGAAGGATGGTTAGCCAAAGGACAGGAGCCTGCAAACTAACGAAGCTGTACTTTTTACCCGCTTTGATCTTGGCTTGTGTATGCTTTAGTGCATGAGAGTTGACTGGCTCTGCTTGTGGAAACACTTCTATGGTCTTTCATTTGCTACTTTCAACAGTGCTGTGTTGCACTCTTGGGGTACTTGGCAGATTGCTTTTCCGGGGGTAATAATTTCTTCAAAAAATAATAATAATGATAATTTGGTCACTCATTCCACGACTGTTTGTGGGACATTGCTGTGTGCAATTGGCTGCCGTGTTTCACCCACAAAATATACAGTGAATTAACTTCACATTATATATTGTGAAGCACTTTGAGATGTCTCGAAGACGTGATAAGGCGCTATATCAAATACAAGGATTATTATTATTACAGCAGATAAATAAAATGCATTTGAACATGAAATATAAATGTTTGAGCCCAGCAGCTCCAGGTCTAATGGTTTGACTATGGCCATTTGGATGGGAAAAGTGGTATAAAATTTGGACAATCACCTTCCTCAATTAACACAAACAAGTGGCCCCAAAGTCAATGGGGTCCAAAACACATCAATTTTATAATAATTCCTCAATTAATGAATGCAAGTGGGAGAGTTCTTCCAATAGCTGAAAGTACGTCACGCCAACTCTGCTCCAAAAGTAGCTTGCTTCGGGCAGCGCTCCCACAAGTGAGTTCTTCTGGATTGATTGCTTAATTAAGGAATCATGTTTGAAATCGCCACATTTTAGACCCCACTATCAAGCCGGTAGTTTAACGTGGCGTATAAAGGAAAAGATGGTGTAACTGTGGCCAGGTCAGCAAGGGCAGGAAAAACAAAACACCTGCCCTGAAGATATCCCCAAATAATGGCTGAAGGTCAAGAACTCCTTGTCCCTCATATTACAAGTGAGAATGGAGAGATGATTCTCATACATGACAGCACAAGGTATCTGGAACTTATTTTCTGACACGTGTCCTAATTAGGGAAAAGCGATCTGGGAGCCACATATGCGCAAACAATAGGATTCAAGACGTTTGAAAAGCCTGCTGTTTAATTGAAGTCATGTCAGCTTGTTGCTGTCACTCACTACCCTTATATTGAGATACGCTCGCCTGAGAACATCTGTCACACACGACATGACATGATGGCTAAATGGTTGGGATCCCCCACACTGCATGCTTATTAAACATGCACCTCCCAATGAGTCAGGCTCCCATCCAAATGTGGAAAGTTACTCTGGGACATGTCACCATCTCTGCACCAGGGGTCTCACTTGTTCGTGATCAATGTTGCCCGGTGGCTGCTGAGGGAAGAAGTGTCAGAGTTTAAGAAATTAATCTGCTTCAGTGCAACACGGTAATGGCTTCAGCTAAATAACTGCAGCTTCAAAGGTTTCTGCAGCTGAAATGTTCACCAGGTTGCAATTTGCAGATCCCCCGAGGTTTAGTGAATACGATATCACATTAAAATGTTTCAGGTGAATCTTTAATATCAACAAGCAATAAAACCTGTGGCTGACTGCCACTTTCACAATTCTACTGTTTTGAATGATGTATGTTTCCAAAAATGCTCTTTGTGAAAAATATCTATTTGTGGATACAATTGTTTTAAGAAGAGGCTCCATAGATTCAGGAGCATATTTTAAAGCTTTCTTTTGTGCAAATGGTGGACTTAAGAAAAAAATGCTATGTGAGCTGATAGATTAGTGGATGGAGATGTTCAGTGTAGTCACATGTTTTCTGTGACTTGAGATGGCCAAATGTAATATTTGATATTGCACCTTCTTACAGTGTCGAAACATCTCAAAGTATTTCACAGGATTTATTGCAGGGTGGTGTACAATAATAACTGTATTTTGTAGAAGAATGGCCAATTTTTTTTAACACCCGTGTAACACAACTTGGATCATTTTGATTTGTTTAAAAGCTCGAAGTGCTAAATTCAGTTTTTAATTGGATTCATGACGCAGAGTTGCTCCAAAACAAATGGGGCTACATCAAACCCACCTGTGATCTAATCGAGATCCATAAGAATCCCAGGAAACTACACTATAAGTTGGGTACTCTGTATCCCCAGTCAACCTATGATATCCCATAGCTTGGATCAACATTTATGTCCTCCACTTCTTTCAAACGAGTTTCTCCAGAACATGCACTCAGGCTAGTTTGAATCAGTGACCCTATGACAGCAACAGAGCAGCCAAGCAGAAGGTGAGACCCAATTTAGTCTCCGTTGAGGTAGTAGCATTTAGAGTTTCATAACCTGAAAACTAATTTGGTCACCAATGTTGTTTAGTAAAGCTGGTGTCTTGCTACCTGGTAATCCTGTGCCACACACAATACTTAGGAATCCTCAAGCCACTTAATCTAAATGAAATTAAAAGTTTTTGCTGCCCTAAGCAAATTAAAATCTAAATTTTCTTTTAAAAACCTTCAATACAACTGATCTTGTAGCTTAGTGGTGAGAACACTCGCCTCACAAGCGAAAGGACCTGGGTTCAATTCCCAGGTAAAAGGTTGGGCAAGTTTCCTTACTCCACACGCTGTTGTTTAGCTAGCAGTAAGTAGGAACCTAGGTGTCAATTGATTGGCAGTTATCTTTTCTGGGGTTAATAATCTCTTAAAAAAAATAATAATTTGGTCACTTGATCCTTGACTGTTTGTAGGACACTGCTATCCGCAATTGGCTGCTGCATTTTACCCACAAAATATATAGTCAATTCACTTTACAGTATATTCTGTGAAGCACTTTGAGACATCTCAAAGATATGATAAGGTGTTATATCAAATGCAAGGCTTAATATTATTATTATTTCAAGACTATGTTCAGTAGTAGTAGTCAAAGGTAAATTACAGCAGCAGTATCTGGAAGCACCAGTAACACAAGTCGTGTTAAAATATCCCAGCAACTTAAAACCTAACCCTCACCTCCAGTATAGTGACATAGGTTAATTAACACAGCACAACATTGCAAACTTTGCCTCCAAAACTGCATCTCTCATAATTGCCACTTTAAGGCACCTAAAATCACATTCCCTTCTTATACATCCCAGGCACTCTACAGCTGCACCAAAACCCTTTTAAATGCATTTCTCATTTGTGGAAGTTCATTCCAATTTGGATCGGAACTTGGCTTATCCTAAAATTAGATTGCTGGCATTTTGAGATAGTAAGTTCAGTCCCACTTTACGATGAAAATCTTTTTCTCTGTGTCTAAGCTGTATGGCAATGCACAGAATAAGAAATTGTATTCTTGATGTTAGCAGCTTATAAGTAAGAAGTCCATAGTTTAGGTCCATTCCTTCACATAACATGGAGAATATAATCACAATGATAATCAAATATAGTAAATAAATTACACCATTTCGCACTATTAGCAATGGTAAATAGGATAATTAGTAAATAAACTTTTCTCACAAATCTCTATTTACCTTAATACATTGGAGGTATACTAATTATATTAAAACAAGAACATATTATTGTCAATTTGGTGTAATTTCCATAAGAACATCAGGTTAATTAATAGACAGATTTTCACCTGCAATCCAAATATAGTACTTCATAAGTCCTGTCTTTTGGGTGGTTAAAGGATGTATTCATGGCATTGAAATGAGCATAAGAATTAAGTATGTTAATTAACTCTGATTTCATATGCAAATTGGTTCAATACAAAATGCATTTTCCTTAAAAAATTAAAACGCTAAGTTCTATCTTATTCAAGTAGACTTTGTTGGCTTCT